TGGGGAGCGCACCGAGGGAATGGTGGGGACCATATTGGCGTTGAGAGGGGGAGGGTGCACGGTGGCCATTGTTCGTCTATGAGACTGGGAGGCAAGCAAGATGCGGCAAGGTCACAAGTCGATACACAGTCGAGAACGTCGAATATTCGAGAAACTCGCGGTTCTGCAAAGAGACAGGGGAATAGTGAGATGCGCCCGGCGCCAGCTGACGCGCTTTATACGGACAGGGAGTGGAGTGCGAGACTTGGGCATGACGTCGTGGTGAGAGGAGAAGAGATCGTCATGATTGATGGAATCAAAATGGCATCAAAATTCAGTCTGCTTCAACCCTTCATGCGGTCGACGCGTCGAATGCAAAAAGTACGTATACGGCGACCGTCGTTCGTGCCTTTCGTCCCAGTGCTGAATCTGCGTGCGCAATTTACGCCGCTCAAGACCCATCCTACTGGTAGGACTCGGATCCTCGTCCACTCGTCTTTTTCAGTCACATCTAAGTACTTATGCAGCGATCTCCCCACGAAAGAGCAATAACGTGGACGTAGTGCGCGGCGCACCAGCCGAGATCCGTGGGTGGAAAGATCGAAAATTCATATATCAACCGCTGAATCTGGGTTCGACTCCCAGCGTCCAACATCCAACGAATTTGGGTCACTTTTTTCTCAGGGCTCGGGAGAGCCAAGCACCATCGCTGGAAAACGCTCGAAGCTCCAGGTATATAACTTCACCATTCTCTTTCCAGATTTCATTCTCCAAGCTACCACGGACGTAAGTACGATCCGCCCTCCCCGAATCCAAACACACTTCGGGCTATCAATATATCACCCTCTGCTGCGCATTCTGACACCCGCACCAGGATACTACTACCACTACAATTCGGACGTGGTGCGCGGTACACGCCCGCTCCTGCTGGTTCTTTCCCGATCAATTTGAAAGCGGGTACTCAACTGGGTTCGACTCCCAGCGTCCGGAATGAATTGCGCCCTTCCCAATCTTTTTCTTGGGTCATTCAATCTCCTGTCTTCCGTGTTCTTGGCGTCACAAACTTGCAGTCCCTGGAATGGGGATGCGACGAACACTTAATCTCGCAATGTCTTTCAAAAACTCGCTCATACATACTCATCGTTGTCTTATTGGATTTGCAATTGACCGCTAGTGCGTATATACATATTCGGCGACCCAGACAATCAATATCCGGACGTAGTGCGCGGTGCACGCCCGCTTCTACTATTGCGTACACTTGAAAGCGGGTACCTGGGTTCGACTCCTAGCGTCCGGGATGGATCTCCTCCGCATACTTTTTCTTCCGGCCATTCCATTCGTGTTCCTCGAATAAAAGTTTACAGACTTGCACTCATACAACACAGTACCAATCGACAAACATAATCCGGACGTGGTGCGCGGTACACGCCCGCTCCCGCTGATTCTTTCGCAATCAATTTGAAAGCGGTACTTGATTGGGTTCGACTCCCAGCGTCCGAATGAATGGTATCCAACCACAATCTTTTTCGTGGGTCATTCCAACTCCTGCCTTCTGTCACCGTGTTCTTTGGGTAGCTTACCCTTCCAAACTTGCAGTCCCTGGAATGTGTATGCAATGAATGCAATGTCTTTCAAAAACCGGCTCCTACATACTCATCCTTGTCCTGTTCCATTTCACCGCTGGTGCGTATATGCATATTCGGCCACCCATACAATCAATAACCGGACGTAGTGCGCGGTGCACGCTCGCTTCCGCTATGAACTTTCTCGGGTACATTTGAAAGCGAGTAACTGGGTTCGACTCCCAGCGTCCGGAATAGATTGGTATTCTGTATTTTTCTTTCGGCCAATCCACCTGCTGCCGTGTTCTTTGAATACTTAATAGTTTACAGACTTGCGGTTCCTGCACTCATACAACACAGTACCAATCGATAAGCATAATTCGAACGTGGTGCGCGGTGCACGCCCGCTCCTGCTGGTCCTTTCACAAATTTGAAAGCGGGTACCCAACTGGGTTCGACCCCCAGTATCCGGAATGATACGTGTTGCTGCCCAAATCTTTTCCTTGGGTCATTCCAACTCCTGCCTTCCGTGACCGTGTTCTTAGGGTACCTTACGCTTACAAACTTGCAGTCCCTGGAATGTGTATGCGATGAATGCAATGTCTTTCAGAAACCGGCTCCTACTCGTCGTTGTCGTGTCGCTGGTGTGTATATTGTATATTTGGCCACCCATACAATCAATAACTTGAATCCGGACGTAGTGCGCGGTGCACGCCCGCTTCCGCTAAGGAGTTTCTGTGTACACTTGAAAGCGGGTACTCAACTGGGTTCGACTCCCAGCGTCCGGAATGGATGTATATTCGACTAGTTTTTTCTTTCGGCCATTCCACCCGTGTTCTTTGAATAATAACGGTTTACAGACTCATACAACACAGTACCAATCGACAAGCATAATACGTGGTGCGCAGTGCACGCTCTCAAATGGTGCTATACCCCACCAGGCGGGAAACTGGGTTCGACTCCTAGCATCCAGACTGGGCAGTCTGCGAAGCCACTTTTCTTTTTTTCCGTCCTTCTGCTTGCAATGGCCCCTTGACGCGATCGATAGGCGTTGCAATTCCCCACCCACTCAAAGCCTCAAAAAATCAGCTTGTGCTCTTCGTTCTCTGCGGGAAGCCCACCCATACACCACGGTATCAATCAAAGAGCACAATTCGGACGTGGTGCGCGGTGCACGCCCGCTCTCGCTATCATGCTTGGCCTAGGCTTTGAAAGCGGGTACTTAACTGGGTTCGACTCCCAGCGTCCGGAATAAATTGTACTTCTGCCGCAATCTTTTTCTTGGGTCATTCAAACTCCTGCATTCTGCAACCGTGTTCTTCGGGTAGCTTACCCTTACCTTACGAACTTGCAGTCCCTGGAATGTGACTGCGGATGCGACGAACACTTAATCTCGCAATCTCTTTCAAAAACCCGACTCCTACATACTCATCGTTGTCGTGTTCGACTTGCAATTGATCGCTGGTGCGTATATGTATATTCGGCCACCCATACAATCAATCAATAATCCGGACGTAGTGCGCGGTGCACGCCCGCTCCTGCCGGTCCTTTCGCGATCAATTTGAAAGCGGTACTTGATTGGGTTCGACTCCCAGCGTCCGGAATGAATCGGATGCCGGCCGAAATCTTTTGCTTGGGACATTCCAACTCCTGCCTTTCGTAGTCTTTGGGTCACAAACTTACTTGCAGTCCCTGGAATGTGGATGCGACCAACGCTTAATCTCGCAATATGTCTTTCAAATACCGGCTCCTACTCATCGTTGTCCTGTTCCATTTGACCGCTGGGGCGTAGTGCGTATATTTGGCCACCTATACAATCCAATAAATAATCCGGACGTAGTGCGCGGTGCACGCCCGCTCCCGCTATAGAGGTTCGGTGTACCCTTGAAAGCGGGTACCTGGGTTCGACTCCCAGCGTCCGGAATGGATGTGCTCCAGGAGCTTTTTCGTTCGGCCATTCCACCTGTGTCCTTTGAATAACGGTTTACAGACTTGCAGTCATACAACCCAGTACCAAACGACAAGCATAATCCGGACGTGGTGCGCGGTGCACGCTCGCTTCCGCTATAGAGTTTCTGTGTACCCTTGAAAGCGGGTACCTGGGTTCGACTCCCAGCGTCTGGAATGCGGTTTCTGCCACTGTGTTTTTCTTTAGTTCTTTCCACCTGCTGCCGTGTTCTTTGAATAACCGCTTACGAGGTTGCAGACGGAGAGACCATTTTTTGCAATTTCTTCAATCGCTCAAAAATTGGCTGGTACTCTTCATTTTCTGCAGGTAGCACACCCATACACTGCGGCACCATCGAGAGCAACACAATCCGGACGTGGTGCGCAGTGCATGCCCGCTCGCGTTCGCGCTTGGCATAGGCTTTGAAAGCGGGTAACTGGGTTCGACTCCCAGCATCTGGACTGCGTAAGTCTGCAGAGCCACTTTTCTTTTTTTCCGTCCTTCTGGTTGCAATGGCCCCTTGACGCGATCGATGGACGTTGCAATTCCCCCTCCACTCAAAGCCTCAAAAAATCGGCTCGTGCTCATCGTTCTCTGCAGGAAGCTCACCAATACACCACGGTTTCAATCATAGAGCACAATTCAGACGTGGTGCGCGGTGCACGCCCGCTAATATTGAGGGGATCTTGTGTATACACTTCAAGCAGGTAACTGGGTTCGACTCCCAGCGTCTGGAATGTCGCCTCAAATGCGCTTTTTCTTTCTTTTCTTTCGGCTCATTCCAGCCCTCGCCGGCCGTGTTCTTTGCGTGGCTTAGGGGCTTGCGCTGTTCCCCCGGCCGGACCATCTTTCCAAAGCACTCTGAAAATCGGCTCCCATTCATCTTTCTCTGCAGAGAAGGCACTCATACACTACAGTGCCGATCATATAGGATACCTCGGGGGTGGTGCGCGGTGCACGCCCGCTCGCGTTAGCACTTGGCATAGGCGTTGAAAGCGGGTAACTGGGTTCGATTCCCAGCGTCCGGAATGCTGTGCACGAGCTGAAATCTTTTTCTTGGGTCATTCAAACTCCTGCCTTCTGTGACCGTGTTCTTTGGGTAGCTTACGCTTACGAATTCGCAGTCCCTGGAATGTGTATGCGATGAACGCAATGTCTTTCAAAACCGGCTCTTACTCGTTGTTGTCGTGTCGCTGGTGTGTATATTTGGCCCCCCATACAATCCAATAAATAATCCGGACGTAGTGCGCGGTGCACGCTCGCTTCCGCTAGGGAATTTCTCGTGGACACTTGAAAGCGAGTACTCAACTGGGTTCGACTCCCGGCGTCCGGAATGGATGTGTCCCACATGCTTTTTCTTTCGGCCATTCCACCCGTGTTCTTTGTACAATAGTGTGCAGACTTGCAGTTCCAGCACTCATACAACATAGTATCAATCAACACGCATAATTCGGACGTGGTGCGCGGTGCACACCCCCCCTCCCCCACTAGTTCTCTGTGGCTGTGCATCTACGTTTGAAAGCGGGTACCTGGGTTCGACTCCCAGCGTCTAGAATGTGGCTTCTGCCACTGTCTTTTTCTTTAGTTCATTTTTCCTATCTCTGGCATTGTGTTTGCAATTTTCCCTCGATCTTCCGATTCTCCAAAATCCTTCAAACCCTGCAAAAATGGACTCGTACTCAACATCCTGTGCAGAGAAGACACTCGTACGGCACAGTACCGATCCCAAAGAACAATCCGGACGTGGTGCGCAGTGCACGCCCCCAAATTATTCCCCTTGAAGGCGGGGTTCGACTCCCAGCATCCGGACCACGAAATCTGCGAAGCCACTTTTCTTTTTTCCCGACCTTCTGTTTGCAATGGCACCTTGACGCGATCGATAGACGTTGCAATTCCCCACCCACTCAAAGCCTCGAAAGATCGGCTCGTGCTCGTCGTTCTCTGCGGGAAGCTCAGGCCATACACCACGGTATCAATCATAGAGGAGTTCGGACGTGGTGCGCGGTGCACGCCCGGTGATATTGATGGTCACGGTGTATAAGCTTCAAAGCAGGTAACTGGGTTCGAACGTCGGGTTTATGATTGGCAATACACAGAACGAGGGGAGTCTTTTCGCGCTGAATCAGAACAACCTCACCACCTATCTGAACACCACTTTTGGCAACTTGGTCACTGCGGACCAGGTGCGGGCGCTCTATAGGAGCGGTTTAAGCGACAACACCGTCATTTCAGAGTTGGTCAAGGACATCGAGTTCCTCTGGTTGAGTTTTTTTTTCTTTGAAAAAATCATTACGTCCTCACGCACCGCCGTCAGCCCTGCCGAGCTCTGGGGCGCCGCTGCAGTTGGTGTGGGAACCACAGACGTATATCGGTATACATACGGTACGGTAAAATCAAACTCCACAATCGTTCCTGAACTACTCATAGGCGCGGTATTTGCGGACCTCCAGTTCTTTCCGAACGCCGGCGCGTGGCACTCCTCAGATTGTATGTCTTTTGGTTGTTGTGTGCAGAATATATAGTGCTTAACCATATTCCAGTATTTGAGATCTTCGGGACCTATCCCTCAGACGCAACAGCAGCAGAAAAGACGCTCTCGCTTACGATGCAGACGATCGTTGCCAACTTCGCGAGAAATCCTGCCGCGACGCCCGCACCGAATTGGCCTAAATACGTCCCCGGCAATACAACATTAACTTTGGCTCAGCTTGCATATCTTTCGAATGTCGCACTCTCGGACGTTGTTGAGACAGTCCGCAGTGTGACAGTCGTGAGCGATTCACTTGT